AAAAACTTAGCACTCTGGGAGGCTGAGGCAGGTGGATTGCTTGAGCTCACAAGTTCGAGACCACTCTAAGCAAGAGATAGACCTCATCTCTAACAAAATAACTAGGTGTTGTGGTGGATGCCTATAGTTCCAGCTATTTGGGAGACTGAGGCAAGAGAATCACTGAAGCCCAAGAGTTTTGAGGTTGCTGTGAGCTATGATACCACAGCACTCTACCAGGGGCAAGAAAGTGAGACTCTATCTCAAAAAAAAAAAAAAAAAAATTTTTTTTTCGTGTGTGTGTGAATTCATTAGAATCCTCACCATCTTATCCTAGAAGGTTAGACTGAAACCAAGGAGAAAACTGAAGCCCAGAGAGGTAGGAGTTTGCCTAGAGTCACACAGCATCGAAGGAGCTGGGCAGAGCTTTGAACCCAGGCTGTCTGGCCTTGTACTGTGAGGGGTGGTAAATGTGGACATGAAGCCACAGCCAGGTCCACGGGGACCCCACGATTGGACTTATAAAGAGTGTCAAGAACAGAGGCTTGTCCACACCTTCCCGTCACCAACACTAGTTCTGGACTGGCTGGCTTCAAGCTAATGATCCCTTGTACCCTGAGGCCCTCATTGGGGCCTTTGAGGAAGGGCTACCGCTTACCCTAACTGGGAAAGCCTGAAAGAAGCTACAGTGTTAGCCACCTGGATCCCGTAACATAGAAATGAGGCCATAGCTTGTCCTACCTTCTTCCTACTTAACCCTCCAGGGAAACCAAGCCCCCACAGTGATGTTAGTACCCTTTGAAGAGTCCAGCCCAGGGCCATCCCTGGTAACCCTGCACCCTTTCAGCCTCTTTGCAGTATCTGTTGGGGTCCAGAAAATTTTCCCCTGTGGCTTAGAGTTTGGGTTTCTTGGCTGTGTGACCTTGAGCCAGTTACTCAATCTCTCTGGGCACCTATTACGTCATTTGTAGATGAGAGTGATGATGACAATAAAGACCTCGTGGCGATTATAAAAGGTTAACTGTTCAGATCTCTCCCTGACTGAGGGTTGCTGAGCTTATTCTGACTTATATTTTTATTATTTTTTACCCCCAGATGTGCAAGACTGGTTTCATATTCCCAGTTTTGTACTTAAGCTCCTGAGGCTTTCCCAAACTCAACTATTCCCAACTCCTCTGCCCCTCAATTCAGTGTTTGTTCCTCAACCTCCCCACATCAGAATTTGTGACTTGTCCTCCAAGAAAGGACTGATCTTGCCCTTGCTGGGGACTTGAGGTGTTTGGAGCCTCAGTTTCACCCTATGCACAGTAGGCAGAGAGGACCTGAGCCTAGCCTTTTCCAATCGGTGTCACCACCTTATCTCCCCTTGTGTTTTCCCAGCCTAAAGCTTGAGTGTGACAAGTTGGCCAGCGAGAAGTCGGAGATGCAGCGTCACTATGTGATGGTATAGTCATCTTGGCCCCTGGGCCCAGTGGGCAGGCATGGAGGACCCCAGGCCCTCCTCTGGTGCCGGCAGCTGCTGCCTACAATCTCTACACCCTGGTGGCCACTTCCCCTGGGAAGTGCGGGCATTCAGGGGCTGTTCTCCATTCAGTCAGCCCCTGCCGGCCTGGCAGCTTGCCCAGGCAGTGGCCGAGGTGCCAAACCGCCGGGTTGCAGACCGGGCTCGCCAGGTCCCCGGCTGTCCTTGGCAGAGGAGGAGGAGGCACTGGCTGTGAAAGCCAACAGTCAGGAACTGACGTGGGGGAGCAGCCAGGTCCCGCCCCACTGCCAGTATCTGGGCATCTGCACTCTTAACCCCTCCACACCCAAGATCTGGGAGGAGCACCCCAGGGGGCCCCTGGCAGGAGGCTGAGATACCCTTGAGCCCTACTCATGGGGGATAAGGGAGAATTGAGGGGAGAACTGGGATACTTCCTTCTTGCTGCCAGAATTATTTGTTCTGTTTTGTACCTGCCAGGTAGCAATTTCTGCATCAGTGCCCCCCTCTCCTGCCATGCCCATCCACCTCTCCCGGACCAATGGCCTGGCCACAGTCCAGTAATGCCAGGGTTCAAAGAGAACTCAACCCACAGCCCAGTTCTCATAGACTGTGGGGAACCCAGAACCAGACATTGATCCTCCCAGCCAATATTGTCTAAGGGAGGCTGCATGGAGAAATGGGGTGTTATGTCAGGTTTTGAAGAATGAGTAGAATCCTGCTGGACCTCATGATGATGGGAGTGAACATGGCTTTTTTGCCCAGGGTGATAGGGAGCCATGCAAGGGTTTGGAGCAGGGGAGGAGCAGGCTTTGATCTAGGGCTTGGGGATGGAGTAAATGGCTGCTGGCCCCAGAACCAAGTAGTAGGCTTTGTTTATCATTATTTATAACCAGAGAGGCAAACTTTACAGAGTCTGGCTCACCCACAAAGATATAAAAAGACAAAAGATTAGTAGGAGTCCTAGAATGGGGGAGGGGGGTGGGCATGGGACCTAAAGTTTCCCCACCCACAGCCCTAGCAGGACCTCTGTCCTATGCTTGCTGGGACTCTGGGTACGGGTGTCTCTCCCCCTCTTGCTTTCTGTCTCCCTCCCACCTGCCTCTCCCCTACCTTCTCAGCTGTCTCTTCCTGTCTCCCCTCTTTGTTACTCCCCCATCTCTTTGTTTCCTGTTGGCGCCCCATGCTTCCCTGCTCCCATGTCTTTCTCTTTCTCTCCCCACACAGTACTATGAGATGTCCTATGGCTTGAACATTGAGATGCACAAGCAGGTATGCCTCTGTTTCCCTCCTCTTCCCCCCCACCACCATTAGGCACCCCAAGGCAGGTAGTGCCCCTTGCCAGACGCCAAGGCAACCCTCTTGTTACCGTCCTGAGCCCTACCCAGGCTCTCTGTCTCTTGTTCAGGTCTCCCTGGGAGATTTTTCTCCCTATAAGGAAGGGGCAGAGACCTTCTCCATGATTTGCCATCCACACCCATCCCTATGTTCCTATGGTATACCAGTACCCTCAGAGCTACCCTCGGACTGCTCACTACCTGTGAGGTTCTGTATGTGGTCCTCCCAGAGTCTCCTGATCCCGAGCAGCTGAGCCCCAATTTGGCCTGGCTCCCTTCACCCTAAGCTACAGGCAGAGAGCCACTTTCTGGTCCTGCCTTGGACATTGATTAGGTGCCCTTGGGCCTGAAAAGAGCTTTGCTAATGCTTTCCCAGCCTGACCTAGCCGCTCTTAGCAAGAATTCCTTGGGCAGGTATCAAGGGCTGGCCCCGTGCTGGCCTCCTGGGGCTGGTCTGCACCTGCCACACACTTTGGGACTGAAGCGTCTGTGTATTGCAGGCTGAAATCGTCAAGAGGCTGAATGGGATTTGTGCCCAGGTCCTGCCCTACCTCTCCCAAGAGGTAAGCAGAGCCAGGGCTTCCGGGAGGTGGGTGGGGGGAGTAAACAGTCCATGAACTTGCCCAGCCATCTGGCAGGGTAGGGCACGTGCCTCCCCCTCTCTGGCCTCCCAGACACCAAATTCTGCTTGTGAAGATGACTCCCCAGGCTAGAGAACCCCAGGGCATCAGGGAGGTGGAGTGAGGGCCTCACCCTGCTATGGTATTCCCAGCCTGAGTGAGTCATTTCATGGGTAAAAAACGTCAAATGCATCAGAACTGCACCAAGACTTTTTTCCCCTCTTTTACTCTTTTCACCCTCCTAAGTCTCATGCAGAGCTCTTTGGACCAAGGACAGGGGTGTATGCACACATACATGAACACAAACAGCCCTGCAGATAGACACCAACATAGACACATCATAAACACAACAGGAAGATGGACACAGACATGTAGGTACATGGTGAAATTAAACTCACCAATTTGCACGTGCACGACTAAACACATTTACACATACCCAGCTTTTCTTCCCCTTTTTTGGGTTCTGAGAGTCTTGGCATGAGGTCTCCATACTCCCCTGCCCTGTCCTCCAGCCAACTTTAGGCCATGTAAGGCCCAGCTTCTGTTCCCTGCTACATTTACTCAAAAATACGCCATTTTCTGGGCAGCACCTCTGGTTCAGTGGGTAGGACACTGGCCCCATATACCGAGGGTAACAGGTTCAAACCTGGCCCCGGCCAAACTGCAACAACAACAAAAAATTGCTGGGCATTGTGGCAGACTCCTGTTGTCCCAGCTACTCGGGAGACTGACTAAGAGAATCGCCTAAGCCCAGGAGTTGGAGGTGGTTGTTATGAGCTGTGATGGCACAGCACTCTACCAAGGGCAATAAACTGAGACTCTGTCTCAAAAAAAAAAAAAAAAAGTCATTTTCTCTAATCCCTGTTCATAGCTCAGTATCCTTCAAATGACTTACTTGCCCATTTCTAGACTTATCCCATTATCTAGAGGTGAGTCTAGAAGGATACAATGAAAGCCCCAGAGAAGAGGGTTCTTGGAGCCTTTCAGATCTAGACGGCTTCCTGGTAGCCAAGGCAAAAAAGGAGATTGGTGAATTCTACATCTGATGGCAAGACAGTAAGAATTTGGGGGAGAGCTGTCAGAGGAAATCACCTGAACCTGGTCTCCTAGTCCAGCACTTCCAGAATTCCCTGGGCCTTCCCCAGCTGTGGAAGGAGAGATGTTTAGATGAGCACATCTTAGAACATAGTCTCTGAGTTCTTAGGATCAGGACTTAGAGTACAGTTGGACAGGCTGTGTACTGCACAAAGGCTCACATCTTTCACTGCCTTACATGTGACTTAGCACATAGGACAGGTCACGATACTTCCCTTTGACTCACCCAGAGGTCTTTCCCTAAATATCTGGCACAAACCGCTTAGAGTTTTCTGTGCTATTCCAGTAGCCAGATAAAGAGACTGAGACTTGGTGAAAGGAAGTGGCTGAAGCTATGGAGTTTCTTTTGAGGTGGAAATCCACTGTGGGGGTGGGCAGCCCATTTAATAATAGAGCTTCTACTGGGATTGTTGTGCCTTCCCCCCGCCCCTCAAGGATTGGGACAAATAACCTTCCTTTTCTCTCACCATGTCCCTCTTCTAGCACCAGCAGCAGGTCTTGGGAGCCATCGAGAGGGCTAAGCAGGTCACTGCTCCTGAGCTGAACTCCATCATCCGAGTAGGTCTGGGAACCTGCATGGGTGGGTGGGTAGGCAGGCAGGTGACAGGTGGATCTGTGACAGCTAATGCTTCCCTTCCACTGGCCTTGCAGCAGCAGCTCCAAGCCCACCAGCTATCTCAGCTGCAGGCTCTGGCCCTGCCTCTGACTCCACTGCCTGTGGGGCTGCAGCCACCTTCGCTGCCAGCTGTCAGCGCAGGCACTGGTCTCCTCTCACTGTCCGCGTTGGGCTCCCAGGCCCACCTCTCCAAGGAAGACAAGAACGGGCATGATGGAGACACCCACCAGGAGGATGATGGCGAGAAGTCAGATTAGCAGGCAGCCGCTGGGATGGGGAGGGTCAGGGAGGGGGGGAAACAAAGGGGAGACAGAGGCATGGAGAGAAAGGAATGTTTAGCACAAGACACAGTATAGCTTGGGATTGGCTAAGCTCTGGTAGTATAATATTTATGGTAGCCACCTGCTGGGGCCCTGGCCCTGCTCTTGTGCTACTGCTAGCTTTGTTCCTGTCCCCCCTGGCCTCTTCCTCCCTCCTCCCCTGCAGCTCAGATAGGTGAATAAATACCTGCTCATAACACAGATGAGGCAAGCTAAGGCCTAGAGGGGCAAATGGGGGACCAGGTCACAAGGGAGCAAAACCTCAAGAAATCCAACACCCCCAGCAGTTCCCTATTCTGAACACCTGTAACTGACAGTCTGCTCGCTGGGCCCCTCGGGGCACATGAAACAGCTCCTGCCCTGGCACTGCATGCAAACACTGCTAGCTGTCCCCTCCCCATCCTGGGCACTCTTAAGTCTTCCCCTTGGGTCCCAGGTCTGCTCCCACTTTTACCTCCAGCTCCTGTCCTGCTCACCACCTCTGCTAGTTCCAGACACCCCCACACCCACCTGGTCATCACTCAACAAAAGAGGCAAGCTTATCTGGGACAGGCCAGGTGGGGGCAGGTGACCCAGGATTTCCCTTCTCCCCTTCCCAAATAAAGATGAGGGTACTAAAGTTGTGTTGGTTTTAATTTGATTTTATTTTTCCTTTCCCAGTATACTAGCTTGACTTTAAAGAAAGGGGATATTAAAAATGTTTAAAAAAAAAAAGCAACACCCACACCTGTGTCTGTATATAGTCAGCTTTTCTTGTGCTCAGTCGTTTGATCTCTACAGAGAGAAGTGAAAAATGCTGTATCGAGGGTGGGCTTAGCTGTGCCTTTCAAATAAAGATGTGAGAAGGTTCAGTACCGTGTCCTTGCCTCTATGTCATAGGCCACCCATGGGCCCTCCTTCTTGGGGGAAAAGGGGCTTCCTATCCAATACATCCTCTGTTGTAGGATGGGACATGGAAGAGTCCTAGGTGGTCACACTTCTGTATATGCTCCATCTCCCATTGATACCTAGCCCAGAGAGTTACCGTAAGCTGGAGACTTAAGGTTATACAGCACTGCCCAGGTGCTAGCGGATTAGTAGTCCATTTAACAGGTGGGCAGAGGGTCTCATAAAGAATAAGGGAGACCAGGCATAGTGGCTCACACCTGTAATCCCAGTACTTGGTAGATAGAGGTGGGTGGATTGCCTGAGCTCACAGGTTTGAGACCAGCCTGAGCCAAAGTGAGACCTCATCTCTTAAAAAAAAAAAAAAAAAACAGCTGGGCACTGTGGAGGACACCTGTCATCCCAGCTACTTGGGAGGCTGAGGCAAGAGAATCACTCAAGCCCCAAGGGTTTGAGGTTGCTGTGAGCTGTGACACAATAGCACTCTACCAAGGGCTACAAAGCAAGACTTGTCTCAAAAAAAAAAAATAAGGGAGGCCAGGCATGGTGGCTTCTGTAATGCCAGCATTCTGGAAGGCTGAGGTAGGCAGTAGCTTGAGCTCAGTAGGAGAACAGCCTGACCAAAAGTGAGACCCTGTCTCTAAAAATAGTCGTTTGTGGTGGTTACCTGTTGTCCCAGCTACTAGGGAGGCTGAGGCAAGAGAATCACTTGAGCGTAAGAGTTGGAGGTTGCCGGTGGCTCACGCCTGTAATCCCAGCACTTTGGGAGGCTGAGGAGGGAGGATTGCTTGAGCTCAGGAGTTCGAGGCTTGTCTGAGCGAGAGTGAGACCCCAACTCATGGAAAAAAATGGAAAAACCCAGCCGGGCGCCGCGGCGAGCGCCTGTAATCCCAGCGGCTTCGGAGGCTGAGGCAGCAGGATGCCTACAAGCCAGAGTCTGAGGTTGCAGTGAGCTACGATGCCACTGCACTCTGCTCAGGGCAAAGGGTAGAACTCTGTCTCGACAAAAAAAAAAAAAAAAAAAGAGTTGGAGGTTGCTATGAGCAACATCAGCATGGCACTCAATTCCAGGGTGACTGACTGAGACTGTTGTAGCTATACTCCAAAAAAAAAAACACACAAACATATGAGCAAGTTAAGTGACAGGGCGGTTTCTATGCCCCAGGCCACAAAGCTGCCTAAATCACATTCTTTTCCCTGCAGGGAATGCCCCACTCCTGCCCACCTGTACCCTTTACATGTCAGTGAAGACAGCCCCTCAGCTGAGCCTGGATCTTTCAAGGAACAGCCTGAAGTACCCCCCCTGCCCCAGCCTCATTCAAGCTGGGCCACCTATGGGAAAGCTAGGAAGAAAAAGGGTTACCCCCAGTTCTTCCAGTTTTGTCCATTGGTGCTCTCAGGCTTGGGCCAAGGGGACATTGGGCTGCCCACCCTGGGACTGGGAGATGGCCATGCATGGCTTGTAAGAGCTGCATAGCATAGGAGTCCCAACCTCAAAAGAGTTGGGAAAGATAGTGATAAACAGCAGACCTCAAGGAAAATATGTTCTGAAGGAGAGAATGGCATGGGGAGATAGGGCTTGGTGATGACACCAGCCTCCTGCTGGGTCCCACCCCTCTCCCATTGCAGCCAAAGAACCTCTAAAAATTCCCTGTGTGATTGGGGTCACTCCCACCTCACATCCGTCTTTGTCACAACCCAGACTTGGCTACCCACACCAGTTTGGTTCTTCTATTTATTTTTTTTTGAGACAAGAGTCTCAAACTGTTCCCCTGGGTAGAGTGCTGTAGCATCACAGTCACAGCAACCTCCAACTTCTGGGCTCAAGTGAGTCTCCTGCCTTAGCCTCACAAGTAGCTGGGACCACAGGCATCCACCACAACGCCCGGCTATTTTTTGGTTGCAGCCGTCGTTATTTGGCGGGCCTGGGCTGGATTTGAACCCGCCACCTTAGGTATATGTGGCTGGCACCTTAGCCACTTGAGCCACAGGTGCCAAGCCAGGCTCTTCTATTTCAGAAGGCTGTTTGGCACCCCATAATCCAACAATTCTCTTCTAGGATCCTTCCCCCAACAGAACTGTCACATGAGTCCACCACAAAGACCTGGAGAAGAGTGTTCAGAGTTTCAATAATTAGTCATGTTTGCCCCTTAATGGATCAGCTGTAATATGGTGTCACTAAAGAATACTACACAGCAATGAAAAAAAAAAAGCTACCTACAGGTGTGTACACCACCACATTGCATCTCTCACATAATGTGAAATGGCATAAAAGACTCCAAACACCTCCGATTCCATTTATAGAAGGCACAAAAACAGGCCCAAATAACCTACATTGTCAGGCTACTTATCCCCGGGGAGGAGGGACAAAAAAGGGACTGCTATTTGGGTTAGTCACATTTTGTTCCCCAACTTGGGAGCCGATTACATACGTGTGTTTACATTGTCATAATTCGTTGAATTGTTCACTTAATTTGTGTGCTCTTGTTAGTTTCACAATAAAAATTGATTAAAAAAGAAAAGATTAAGGTCAGGAGTGGTGGCTTATACTTGTAATCTCAGCACTCTGGGAGGCCAAGGCAGGAAGATTCCTTGAGGTCAGAAGTTCAAGACCAACTTGAGCAACATAACCAGACACACCACCACCCCCGACCCCCTCTCCACAAAAAAATAGAAAAATTAGGCTCGGCGCCTGTGGCTCAAGCG